CCCGCTTTCCCGTCACGGCTGTTCCGATACTTTTTGGAACCAAATATCAACAATTCCCCAAAAGACACTGGAAATGCCGGCGCCTCAGACCCCTCTGCGCAAAGCGACACGGCGGACGCTGCGTCAGGAAAACGCAGAGGAGCAACCAGGGCTGATCCTCGTCCGGGACGCAGATCCCGCAGGGACGCGGGCACAGCTGGGGGAGGGGTCCTAGCCACGCCAGCCACAGGCTCAGATAGAAACCTGGGGACACTGACCGTGAGCAGGGACGGCTTCCATTAAGGAGGTGGCCACAGAGACAGGACACCCTGTCAGTCACACACCCAAGCGCACCCGCTCCGGCCGGCACACCCCTCCTGGCCGAGGCTGCTCACATGACCACCCACTGAACTGGGGGTGCAGGCCCTGCAGAGCCTGCAGGCGCGGCCACGTCCAGGACCTCTCAGAGCAGCAGCACCACGAGGCACGGCTGCCACCCTCACAGACCAGGGGTCGGAGGGGTGCCGGCCAGGGCACCCACCGAGCCGACAGCTCTCCCGGGCGCTCTGCAGGACGGAGGAGCTCACGGAGCCCCAGAATGAGCCGCTGCCAGGCCGCCCAGCGCCTTCTCAGAGCCGCGCGGCGGGCACGCTGCTGGGGACTCAGGCACAGGTCTGAGTCCTCATCCCGAGAGGACGAGGCTCTTCTATGGGGACCAGACGATGGTGAGTGAGCATGTCCAAGGCAGACAACATCGCATCATTTGTACACCTGCTGTGCTGGGCCCTCTCCGCTAGAAAATGCAGACAGCAAGGGCAGCACGGCTGTCAGACTTACTAGCTGCGTTTAAGCACCTGGCCCACGGCTCCCCCTTCACCCTCCTGGGCCGCCCCCTGCAGAAGGTGGAGCCGTGACCATCGGAGCTCTGAGCGGAGCCTGGGGTGCTGAGCACTTGGGGGTCGCTGTCTTGTGTCCACACACAGCCCAGGGCACCCACAGACACCATGCCCCACCACGCCCTCAGCACCCTGCTCACTGACGGGGTCCGACCGTGCTGCCCGCAATGGCTCCGTGGAGCTGGGCCAGAGGGACGGGAAGCGGAGGCCCCATGCAGGCCAGCTCACCCCAGCCTCGGCGAGGCCAGGTGACACCAGTGCCTTTCAGGCCCCGACTTCCTGGGAGGGCATCTTCCTGGGAGGGCGCTGCGGCCAGGCAGACAGCAAAATGGTGCTGAGGCCCCGCCGCCCGGCAGGGCTCCCGCCTGAAATGGCTGGCGGCGTCCGCCCTTGGACAGGCTCCTTCCTGTCGATGGGACTCTTGAGCCTCGGCCACAACTCAGAGGTCCCACAGCCAACAAGGCAAACAGCCCCAAGTCCCGGGACAAAGGGAGCGCCGCCCGGCCAGCGCGGGGACCAGGACGGCAGCGGGCTTTCCCATCGCCTCCA